TACCCCTGTCCTAAAGTGTGTTCCCACTTTAGAAAATTTATTCCTTCAGAGTACAGCTCCCTGAATTGTCCTGCCACTGGACATGATGGATGGAGGATTCTGGGAGATGTAGTTCAAGAGAGTGATTTCTCCAAGCTCATACAAATGCAAAGGTGGCCATGTTGACCATAAAACAAGTTTCAAAGTTGACTTAGCAGTGATATCTTTGTTAGGCCAAGATCCTGCATACTTATTTAGTTAGTTAGTTCATTTTTATGTCCGCTTTTTCCCAGAAAGGGACCCAAGGCAGCTCACAACAAAAACATCAGAAATTACACTTCAGAACTTTACAATGATAGAGTTATGTCACTGACATTATACTCAGCCATTCTTGTGAATTGCAGTGATGCAAAATAGGTCCCATTGCACAGTGGGGACACCTCATGCACCATGATTCTGGCTACACTGGTGCAATGATACTAGTGGCGTAGCTACATATTGTCTCCCCTCTTGACAGTATGAACATTGTGCAACAGTGCAATCCAACTTTATGTGATCATAAGTTGGTTTATGATGTCTTAACTTCCCAACAGGATTCTGGCCATGGCTTCTTCATCAGCCAGAGATTTAAAACAAACATGCAGGGGGAAATAGATTAGCCATCCACATTTTGTTTCTATGATGGTACATGAGGAAGAGTGTGTAAACTATCAGTTTAGGCTGCTTGGTGACCCTGGGCTGGTGGGAACAAGAAAGAGAACGAAGAGAGAGCAATAAAATCTAATTCTTTTTTGAGGAAAAAAATAGACTTACATCCTTATATATATTCAGCTTACTTGCTCGTTACATTTATTAAATGTGCTTCATTGTTGTTGTTTTTTGTTTTGTTTTTAGGAAATTGTCAAGCCAATTTCTCCTGCCGAATTGTTTCCAACCTTACCTCTTGTGCAGGTGTGTCTAGGTGCATTTTGTAATTTGTAACTTAATCTGAAATGCCTGTATAGTTCTGTGAACCTTGTTGAGGCTGTGACCTTACATCAGCGGTTCTCAAATAGTGGGGCGGGCCCCCCAGGGGGGGCGCGAGGCTCCGTAAAGGGGGGCCCGTTACGGCTGGAGAGAGGGAGATTGTCCCAGCGCAGCCCCAGTAGCAGCCCGACGTGCTCTATCCTGATTGGTCAAACCCACCCATGTGACTACTTACAGTCGCGCGGGGGGCGCGAAATGTTTTCTTTTTTCCTAGGGGGTGTGTGACAGAAAATAATGGAGAAGCACTGCCTTACATTAACTTACTTACAAATAAATTCCAATTAATTTCTAAGTCCTAAGTCATCGTCTGTGTACACAGCAGATGTGAAATGGGAGAACATTCAGAAGTAGGATAGTAGACAGAACAAGTTTAGAATGCAGGTGGAAGGAGCACTTTTGAAAAATATGCTCCCCTTTGTGAAAACAAACAAGCCTCACCAGCCTAAAAATCTACCTGAGATCATTGATTCTAGATCAGTGTGCTCCCTGATGTTATTGCTGTGAGTCCAAGCCATTTTCGAGTTATGGTGACCCTATCGTGAGGTTTTCTGGGGCTGAGAATCTGTGACATCCAAGGCCACCAGGTGGGTTTTATGGCTGAGCTGGGAATTGACCTGCGGTCTCCAGAGTAATAGTCTAGTGCTCAAACCACTACACCATACCAGCTTTCTAATACACTAGCTTTTTATTTCTGTGTTAAGAGAAGACCATTTTGTTTTAAACATGGATCACATTTTAATGTTTGCCTTCCACATGCATACAATCTGTTTCAATACCTTGACTGCTGCTACTGCCTTGCTACTTCCTGTGGGGCGTGTGTATGTTAGCTAGGTTTTACATTTGTTAAAATGGTTTCCAGATAAGCCCTCAATCCCAGATTAAAGAATATACATCAGTGATGGGGAACCTTTAGCCTCCAGATCAGGGGTAGGCAACCTTTCCCCTTTAAGGGCCGAAGGACTTCAGCTCCCAGAATCCCAGGAGCTATTGGCCAGCATGGGACTATTGGCCAACATGGCTGAGACTTCTGGGAGCTGAAGTCCCTCGGCCCTTAAAGGGGACAGGTTGCCTACCCCTGCTCCAGATGTTTGGAGCTACACATCACTTCAGCTCAACCCAGGATGGCCCGGGATGGTAGTTGTAGACCAAAGTAGCTCAAGGACCAAAGCTTCCACTCCCCTTGGTCTCATAGCACCTTTCAGGTCACTGAATACAGTTCTCTGTCTCTCTACTATCCTGCAGTTGTCTACTTAAAAGTATACCCTGTTGAGTTTGAGGGCACCTCAAGGTAAACATAGGCTTGCATTTGCAACTAACTCAGCTCCAGAATGTGTTTCCTACATGGCTGTATTCTTCCAAGCAAATAGAGAGGTAAAGGCCTTAAAACACCCCACTGGCATTGATGAAGTTCTTCTCTTGTCAGCTGCACCTCCTCATTCTCATGTATTACCTAAAGCTTGAATTAGCCACACTCTATGCCACATAAAAAGTCCTAAACCATCTTAGCTTTCCCTGTATAATTACCTTTGATTATATTGTCTGTCTGTGTTGGCCCCTTTGTGTGTATTATTGGGATGTCAGAAGCCTAAACATATCAGAAGTCTTTCAGCAGGCTGTTTAATTTAAGATGTCAGTCACATTTTTGTCATATTTCTCAGAACCCCACATTCTTGTCTCATGCTGTTCCAGATCCCTTTGCATATAGAAATGGGAAGGACTGGGATTAAATAGCCAGTGTGTATAAAGTAGGGGCTAACATTACATATCTTTTGTGTTTAATTTACCATAGAACAGGGGTAGGCAACCTTTCCCCTTTAAGGGCCGAGGGACTTCAGCTCCCAGAATCCCAGGAGCTATTGGCCAACATGTGACTATTGGCCAACATAGCTGAGGCTTCTGGGAGCTGAAGTCCCTCGGCCCTTAAAGGGGAAAGGTTGCTTACCCCTGCCATAGAATCTTCTTAAAAAGTTATTATTCACTAGCAAACTTAAACTTGCTTATACAGTCCCTAAGACTCTTTCTCCATTACAGTGAGACCTGTGAAGAACTTAGAAATCTAGAACACAGGTCAGATCTGGAAATATGTAGGAAAAGAAGCTAGAAAAGTAGCTTTTGCCAGCAACTCCTAGAATCACCCAGCCAGCTTGGGAAGTAAATTTTGACTATCATTTCCAGAATCCCACAGCCATTGTTTATAAACAGTGAGAACAAAAATAAGGCAAGCAGCAGAATCATTCAACTATTCTCTTTCTATTAATTTGCAAGTTACAGTAAGGGGCTGGAGAAGTCTCCAAAAGTGGGCTCTGCCTGTAGGAAACAAGTACAGTGCTTCACTCTACCAGTGAAAACTAATTGACTTTCCAGAGCAGGAAATAAAGCTCTTGAACTGGCAGGGAGTGTTGCATAAGGACTGTTACTTGACTGGGAACAGTATGGTTCTAACCCTTTTGAAAATAGACCTCATTTGCCAACACCTCTTATGAATTAAATAAAGGCCAAAGATACATTTTGCTGCTGTGGTGACAAGAGATTAGTGTAGGCACAAATTTTGAACACAGTATCCGCTCTCAGTTTTTATACTAATGATGAGTAGGAGGCCTGTTGCCAAGGTTTCAGCTTCACTCCTTTTCTCATACTCTATTTTGCAGGGGAAATCCAAGCCAATTAAGATTTTATCAAGGCTGACGCTTATTGCTTCTGATCCATCACACTGCAACATTCTGGTAAGTTTGTTCACGGAGGGCTTTACATCATTATCATTGTCATCTAGTGGTTTGGAAACTGCTGTGCTTCATAGTGCTAGATAAAGTGTGCCTGCCCTATACGCGGGCTTGCAGTCCGCAGACTCACGCTCACGCGGATGGCAAACCCCGGGCATTAAAAGGGTGTGCACAATTGTACCGTGTGCAGAAGCACATAGCCAAAGCAAACAACAGGACTTGAGGACCCATGTTTTTCCCCATACATGCAGGGCAGGCTCTGGAACGGATTCCCCACATATACAAAGGGTCCACTGTCCTTTTTTTTCACCCAGAAATACAATCGTTCCTCCTTATCCACAGGGGCTGTGCTCCAGGTTCCCCAGTGGATGCCGAAAATGGTGGATAGTACCAAACTCCATGCCTACAAAGTTTTCAGATAATGATTGATTATGGGTAACTGAAACTACGGAGCGGAAAACCACAGATAAGGGGGAACTATGTTATATATTTTGACTGGGTAACTGAAACTGCAGAACAGGAAATCATGGATAAGGGTGGACTACTATGCATTGCTATCTTGGAGAACTCTCTTTCACCAGATATTAGAAAGGGCTCCCAGGTTTTTTAATTAATATAGATATAATCAAAACTTTCATAGATAAAAATGTCCAGGACCAGTCCAAGAAAGTTTCTTGCTCTCTGACTCCAGTGTTGGAGTGAGTAATGCTCAACTTGGAGGCAAAAAAAAAAAATCCTACCACTCATTGGGCAGTAAAAATATAATAAAGAAGTAGTTACTAACAATGTACTTTCTTCTCAGGAGACCGTAAGTGCTAACCTGAGTCAGCTCCACCATCCTGCCTAATGGTATGGCTGAGCCTGAAAATAATGGTAGATCTTGGTTATATTGCTCAAAAATTGTCAGATTAGTAGTGAATGACAGTCACTGGGAAACTGCCACTCTTCCAAATGTCCACAAAAATAGAGTTCTAGTCTACTATGAAGGCAAATATACCTACCTGTGGAACTAATGACATACTGGCAGTTTAGGAGGGAAATAATAAAAGCTTTAGTACCTGACTATTTAGAGGTATTTACATGTCCCAGGCAAAGGACTGTTTCCGGGTTGACCCTGTTCTGTATTAAACTTCTTAATGCAACTGCATCTAGCCATTAAAGGAGGCACTGTAGTAGATGAATCAATCAATAATCTGGTTTTGTGTGCAAGGGGAGACGCTTGGATTTTTCATTTGTCCTATTGCTTCTTAGAGAATTGAGTGTATATGGAGATCTTTCGATTGCACTGAGTGGAGATGGCCTCCATAGAGGTCGTCAGCAAGATTGTCCCCATTTTCAATCCTCGGGTAAAACCATTTTTAAAGAAATAATTTGGTATAATTAGTTCTAGAGAGGCTTGGAAAAATACCATTCTTTATTTTAGGAGTGAGCACACCCAGGACTGGAAGTAGAAAATAAGGAATGGTATTTTTGCGTGTGTCCATAGCATTAAACACCAGATTACTTTTGGTAGTTATTTTCTTTTGTTTAATGTTACCATTTGTGCAGCTTCTTGGATGAGGCTTGTTTTTCCTTGACTAGATTCACTAGTCTAGATGCCACTGAATTCTTCACCAGGTAGGACATGAGCAAGAATTCTTTTATCAATAACTTAGAGTACTGACAACCAGTAGTTTCTCTCAGAACCAATAGATGAGCGTTCAGTCATGTTAAATGCTTTATCTGGCATTTTTTCCAATGATTAGTGATACATAATTGGCACATAATTATTATATTTTAATGTTAATTTGAATGGGCTAGATACTAAGGGAGCTTGAAAAAGTTATGTGTTTGAGCTACCGCTGCAACTTTGTCAGACCTTTGGACTACAACTTCTGGGTTATTCTAGGAGTTGTAGACCAAAAAACTAACTTTTCCAAGTTCTGAATGTTAGTTTGATTTGTGTGAATTTTAACAAATTTGACAATTAAAATGAGGAATTAATTGTCTCTTTTCCACTTAGAATTATTTGAAATATTGAATTTTGTTTTCCCACAGCTTCAGTGCTGAATGGAATAAGTTACAAACATTGTCCATAGGATTGTGTAAATTACTGATGGGCCTGGCACGTTGAGCTTTACAATTTGAAGCAGAAATGTTCTTTTGTGTTAATCTGGATAATCTAATCAGTGTTTCCTATATGCCTTTTTGTTTATTCCTTCACCTAGAGATCAACATCTACAAACATAAAGTTTTATGACATCTTTGCTGTATTTCCTAAGAATGGGAAACTCTTCCATGTAAGTTTAAGAAACATCTGAACCAGATGATGAAATATGGACTCTCTTCCTGCAGTAGCATACAAATAAACCATGCTCAGCTCTAACACAGTGAATACCCAGGGATTCAAACCCAGATGTCTGTACAAAGTAATGTGCTTAACCCAGAAGAGTTAAACCAGTCAAAACCCTAGGCGTAGAAATTCTCTCAGTATCAGGTCTCCTATATTTGAATTTTTTAAATCTTGAATACTTTCCATCCCAGATATAAAGAAAAACTGAATTCTGTCAAACCAAATTGAAACTACCATAACTTCAAACTTTGGAATGGTAACTAATGGGGCACTTTGGTTTTGGTCCTTTAGTATGGCTAAAGCTCCTATTTCCACTAGGTGGCATAGTTGCCTCTGTTATGGGAAGCAAATATAAAGGGCCATAATTTCCTACTCAAGCTCACTAAAAGGGCTGTTTTCCTCTCAATGTCTAGCATTTTGAATTATTGCAAGAACATGGTGTTTTTACAAAAAGTGTTTTTTCTGATATAATTATCTTGCAAACTTGTGGGATTATTATTTTTGCAGTTTTGATATAATTACCTTGCTATACTTGTAGAATTAGGGTTAGAGATATTTTTGCATTTCTAAGGATGTGAAGGAAGGGT